CCTTGTGAACTGACCACCCCTACATCTCTTCTACCTGATTATTATGAGAGGCCTTAAACATAAAGGCTTAACCACAGTGATCTCCTGCCCATGAGCTCTACAGGACTTGTTGCTTAAGATGTCTTCAAGAGCACAAACTGTCTTATTCTTTACCATCTCCACACGTTATAAGTATACAAGAGATATGTGACAAATAATTTGCTTAAGAAGGTGCTTTACCACCACTCCCCACACCTTTTTCATATTTAGCAGTGAATGCTTATTATGTGCCAGGTATTGTGCTGGGGACAGAGTAGTAAATAAAACTGCAGGTCCTCTAACAAGAACCTGCCCTTATGGAGGCTATAATCTGATTTATACCATATCCTGTGTTAATATCCAATCAAGCACTCATCGCACTAGATTATAATTGCTAATCTCCTCTAACTGAATTTCTATAACTTATCTGGACCACCTTACCATCATTCAAATCGGGAAGAATCTACTATGACAGTGGTTTATAAACTTTATTGTACATTAGAATTACCTGGGTGAATGGGGAGCTTTTAGAAACCCTGATGCCCAGGCCAAACCCCATACTAATAAATCAGAATCTCTGAGGATAGAACACAGAATTTTTTAAATCTCCCAGGTCATTTCAATATGCAATAAGGTTTGGCTAGTATGCTATATCATATATTCAGTATGCTCATTCCCATATACATGTGAGCCTTTACAGCTTATACTGTCTCCTGTCAAAAATATTTACCACCCCCCTCCAAAAAGAATATTTACCTTGGTTTTCTCCATTCATTTATCCTGAAATCTCACCTCTTTCTGTTGAAACTTTTCTGGATCACTCCTCTGTACACTGAACTACCTGAGCTATAGCTTTTTAAAAATACTAGTATTACTTTGATTTAAACAATTCTATTCTTTCAAAACCATATTTTATAACTATCTTTAATTACTGGTTATTTTGAGAACATCTAATATTCCTAACCAGACAATAATATCTTTTCCAGCTGAGAAAGTAGCTTACACACTTGTTTCCCACAGCATTTAGAACACCTCTAATCAGCAAATGGATGACATTCAATAAATACTCTTAGTTATCTGTCACTGCTTGATAAAAGGCTACATGCAATAGTCCGAAAACTCACTTTTGGTTATTTATATGGTTTTAAAAAACAGCTGAATCTCACGAACATAATGCTGTATGAAGAAGCCAGACATAAGAGAATATTTACTGAATCATCTCATATACAGAAGATAAAGAGCAGCAAAAGTAATCTATGTACTAGAAGTGAAGAAAAGAGGGAAGGAGAAGTAATTGGGAAGAGGCAAGGAGGTTGCTGGTCATGGGTAAGTATTGGTTTCATGGGTATTTTTACCATGTGATAATTCACTAAGCTGCACACTGATCTGTATATGAGTATGTGTTTATTTAGAAAAATTTTTAAAAATCTAAGCACTTTGAAAATCTGCATAACCATCTCCTTTTCCAAAATAATCTATTTCTTACAAATTTTGCAAATTAAACTGATTCGAACACATTAAAATTATAAAATGAACTATTTGTGAAATGCGCTAAAAATGAACATTAAAAAAACTAGCTTCAAACCAGAGTTTGGTTAAGGTGGTAAAGAATACAATAAACCTTAGGACATGAACCTAAAATAAACGAACATTCTATTTCAGGTTAAAAAAAAGGCCATACCTGTACATCTAGTCGCCATTCAAGGCTGTGGTAACTGGGAAGGTCTGGAGCCAATTCACTCAGAATAGTTCTGATCTCCTTTCTGTTGTCCAGATAAAGCTGAAGCAACAATTTATTCAATTCTTCAGAGAATCCCAGAACAAAAACAGAGTCTTGAAAATCCAGTTCAGAAATCTAAAAGTGAATTGAGTTCAACAGAACATCAAAATTTACCTTTGTCTAGTAAATGCTAAAATACTGGATATCTAGAATATGCGGAAACATGGCGGAGTGAGAGACATCCCCAGATCTCTCTTCTTGAAACAATAAGCTGAACATATAAAACTCAACAAAAATCACTCAAACTGCACACCAGCACCTCTGAGCGTGGGATCTGCACATAAGAGCTACCACAGGCCAGAACCCCGGGTGTAGGGCAGCGGACTGAAAGAAATAAAGAAGCTGCCTCTCACAGCCCACTGAGCTCCCTGTAGTAGGAGGGGGAGAGGAGAAGGTGCAGACTTCCCTAAACAGTCCTGCCTGGAAAGCTGTGAGCTCCATGAGGCAGGCAGGTGGCAGGGTGCAGTCATTAGGGAAGAAGGCAGAGAAACAGGACAGGACCTCAGAAAAATAGCAGTTGATTCTTACAAGCCACTGTTGCAAAACAAAGCCCGAGCTGCACCCTCCATACACTCTGAGACCAATCACCATGGAGCCGCAGGGGAATCTGAGCAAAAGTTGCCAGGAATGTCGCTAATACTAACAGGGACTGAAACTGAGGGTAGTAAGCATGATTAAATATCTACAAGAAAATAAGAAAGGCATTTTTAAGGCTTTATATGAAGCAGGGATGCAAGAGGCTTAGACGCCAACTAGAAACCAAAAGAAAAACACCTTCTTTGCAACAAGCTAAAAAGAGACCTTTATATAATAAACCTTTCTGGGAAAACAGAATACACTTCCATTAATGCCCAGGAGGAGAAACAGTCCATTTAAGCATCATGAACAACCAAGGTGACAAGACATCTCAGAAATAAAGAGAAAAATCTCCAGAAAATAAGCTTACACATAAAGAAATATGTGACTTAAACGACAGAGAATTCAGGATGGTGCTTCTGAAAAAAATCAGTCAATTCTGAAACAAGTCATAGCAACAATTACAGGAATTGGAAAAATTAGATAAGCAGAACAAGGAGACTGAAAACCTCAAAAAGAACAGAATAGATCGTCTGGAGATAAAAAAAAAAACCACACTGTAACAGTTGAAAAATGAAACAGCAAGCTTGGGAAATAGAGTTGACCAAATGGAGGAAAGGATTAGTGATATCAAAAACAGAAATCTAGAAATAAATCAGAAGAAAGAAGAGAAAAACTGAAGAATGAAAAATAATGAGAGAAATTCAAGAACTAGTTGATACCATCAGGAGAGGAAACATAAGAATAATGGGCATTACAGAAGGTGAGGAAAAGGAGCAGGGACTAGAAAGCATTTTCAAACAAATAGTGGATGAGAATTTCCCAAATCTAAGGAATGAGCTGGAGCTTGAAATTCAAGAAGTCAACCGAACACCCAATTATCTCAACTCGAAAAAGGCTTCGCCAAGACACATTGTATTAAAATTATCAAAAATCAATGACAAAGATAGCATTCTCAAGACATCCAGGGAGAAAAAAACAGTAATTTAAAAAGGTAAATCCATTAGATTATCCTCGGACTTCTCAGCACAAACTTTACAAGCCAGAAGGGAATGGAATCAAATATTTTGACTATTAACTGAAAAGAAATACCAGCCTAGAATAATATATCAAGG